TGTTTTAATGCTGGGCAAAACTATGCCTTTATTGGGAAAACCTGTAATTAGAAGTAAGAGATGAGAGATGGTTTCTAGAAAGCTGGAAAATGGGATCTCTATCAAGGTTTAAAGAACGAGACAGTTCTCCAAATGAAGAAGCAGAACGTGTTTGTGTGTATGTATGTATCATGTGGAGAAAGAGCAAGAACCAGACGAGGTGAGGGTGAAGAGTGACAAAACAATAGGACCAAATGGAAGTTCTTTAAATTGCAAGTATCTTCCTTAGCAATTTTGATGAGGAATATTGCAATGGTCAGCTTGCAAGAGAAAATTAGCCATACTAGTTATGGCTGATTAGAGAGAGGCCACATTCACACAAACACATTTAACCAGGACAGTTAAAGGCCCAGCGACTGCATTTGCCCAGCAACTAAACTTGATTGCTTTTAATTAGATTAGTCTTCAATCTAATTTGCAATGAAGGAAATGCATTAATATAATATGTTAGGCACCTGCCCGAAGTCCAAGCTTAGTTGTTTGAGTCCAACATCAATTGCCTGATTGCAAAACATGCATATAGCCCTATTCCCATGATGGCCGACCTATGGCACGCGTGCCGGAAGTGGCACGCAGAGCCATTTTTCCAGGCACGTGAGCCGGCGCTGGTTGTTCTTCTGGGTTCAGCCAGCTGGTCTTCACGCACATGGGAGTGCTGGAAACTGGAAGAGCAACTTGCCGGTGTACATGCAGGTGCCAGAAACCAGAAGATAGTCTTCCTGGCACATGCATGCGCACTGGGAGGCAGCTCTTCTGGTTTCTGACATGTGCATGTGCACCAGCCAGCTGGTCTTCGTGTACTCATGTGTGCCAGAAACTGGGAGACCAGGTGGCCATCGCGCATGCGGGTGCCAGAAGCCAGAAGAGCAGCCACCTGGTGCACACATGCTCACCGGGCGGCTGCTTTTCCAGTTTCTGGCACACACGTGCGCGCTCCCATTTCAGTACTTAGTGCCAAAAAGATTCACCAATACTGCTCTATACCATCAATGAAATGCAAGTTGCCCATGCATATCAACTTACCATAAGTATGTCAGCTGTGATGGCCCAGTTTGAAAACAAAAGAGTCTCACCAATAAAAATGCAGACCTGTGGTTGAAACATTAGACATATACAATTTACTCATGCAAATCTGGGAAGTTATCCCACAATCTGGTGGTTCTGTTTTAAAGACAGTATCCCCAATGTAACTGAATGCACGACAATGTACTGTTCACATCCACTGAACCTTATCTGTGTGGGGTGGAGGAGACAGGCAGGGAAGGGCATTTTTTTAAAAAAATTACTTATTTGTGATCAGGAAAATTTTTATTGAAGAAATACTTATCAAGTGCTTATAGTTTTATAAGGTTTGTAAGCTTCTTATTTTTATATGTTTATAAGAAGTTGAGAAGCTGGTGAAAATTGTGTGTATTTCAAAAAAAAGGTAGAGGTCAACCATGGTGAGAAATGTATTTATAGCAGGAACAGGGAACCTCCAGATGTTACTGAACATGGCTTATGGCTGGGATAAAGGGAGCTAGAATCCAGCAACATTTGCAATGCCATATGTTCTGCCTGATTTGTAGTATTTATATACTTCCTTAAATTCTCAAGGTAGCTAACAATAATTCTACCAGTATAAACATGGACATAAATACAAACATAAGCTGCAGAGCATGCGGGGAAAAAAAATGGGGTTTGTAAAAAAACAAAAAAAGAACTCCATCAAGTACTGAAAGGGAATCTGCCTTGATGGAGAGGAAGTTAAATATATATTATAGGCTGATTACATAAAAGAAGGACTCTGGTTGCAGATAAAGGTGTGCCAAACATTTCAATTTTAGATTGTCTTGAACTCGAAATGCAAAGTGGTGATTTTGAACGCCCTAGAAGCACTTGGAGCCCTTGAAATAGCTTTGTTTTACGTCACTTTTAATCGTTTTTGTCTTTATGCATCTTTCCCAAAACTATTCAGAGGTGTTAATTTTGTTACCGGCAGGGCCATTTTGACTACAGAAGGATCAGCATTCAAAGAAGTGCATTAAAAATGGATAAAGGGAACTTAATACATTGGAATAGAATCAAGGTCACCAGTTAGTATATTAAAGCAGTGTTTCTCAACCTTAGCAACTTGAAGATGTCTGGACTTCAACTCCCAGAATTCCCCAGCCAGCGAATGCTGGCTGGGGAATTCTGGG